CGTTCAACTTGTTTTTCTCAACAATTGAGCGGAGCGTGAATTTGAGGTGTTCAGTAGACATAGTAACTCCAAAACAGAAATTGAAATATGCAGATAAATTATGCTTGAAATGCAAAAAAAAAACTTTATTTTAGACATGTTCTAAATAACAAGTTATTGCATATTCTACTCAATATAATATTGTCCCTTGTGAGTAAAATAATTCCAAGATCCTATCTTAGATGAAACTTGAGCGTACTAAGGCACTTCCCCAAATCTCATGTAATCAAGGTAAGTAAATGCTTTACTAATTATAACACTTTATAATTCTTGGTTGATGGCCACATCATATGTTAACTCATCCTTATGCCTCAAGATCTAAAACTAAGTCTTTTGGCCTCTTGTTGAGTATAACCATATCAAGGCAGCATGCCCCTATTAGACATACCCGCACTATCCCAAGGTCAAGGAAGGACACCTCGCTAGGGCGAAAACTATCCAACGAATTCCAAGGGCCTCATGGTTATGACATGGAAAGGCATAATCTCAATATTCTTTTAATGGACTTTTAGCATGTAATGGTTGTCTATATATAAGCGAACTAAATAATATAAATAAACAAGCATTCATGCAAGGCAAGAGATAATAAAAACATTCACATAATGCAATAATAAAAATTTGGATCCTAGTATGGCCCCTAAAGAGATCCAATCTTCAATAGTCTTGACTTTCTGGATCACCATCCTTTAGTCATCATAGGATCTTCTTCTTCTTGTGTTACATAAATTTGAATAAACTTTCTTGCATAAATTTAAATTACAAAAAATACATAACGATACGCAGATCGTGTTTATCTATCCTAATTTGGGCATATTAGTCACCACATGCAATAATATCATAATATTAAACGTACATGCAATGAAATGTTATTCAAGTAAGACATGCAATTTATCCAAATAAAAAGCATAAATAATTAATCATATTAACTATTTAAAATTAGAAACGATTTCTCATTATTTTAATTCAATAAGACTGTGAATGGAATTAATATCTAATATTAATTAGTAATTTGCCAAGAAATAGAATCAAATATTTATGTTAATTCAAAATTAACCAAATAAGATATCTATAGATCTTACAGAACAATTAAATCTTTATTTATCAAATAAAATATCAAATATTTTATAAAATAAATCGTATTTATTATGCATTAATCCAAACATATGATCTATGCTTATTGAATCTAAAAAATCATGAACATGCATCAAATTGTAAGATTAAAATTTGATCCAATTAATTTATGCAAGAGGCTCTGATACCACTGTAGAAACTTTAGATGCTCTAAGCGGAATTGCAGGAAACGTTTTCCTAACATCTAAACGAAGGATCTATTGCATAAATCAATTGGATTAAAAAAAAAGGAAAAACGATTACCTCTTGATGCGTGTTCAAAGCCTTCTCTAATGGAGAGATTAAGAGTCTCACTTGAAAACTCCTCTAGTTGATCCACCCGAGCAAAGATCTGGATCCTTAGAAATCAACTGCTAGGTTGAAGATGAAAGGTTTTTGGGAGAGAAAGTAGTAACACTTTCACGTATATAGAGAAAGTGGAATTGGATTGGATTTTCTAAAAGAAAAACCACTCTTATTTATAATCCACAAATTAAAGTCATATTTAATTCTATAATTAAATATAATCCACTAATTAAAGTCATATTTAATTCTATAATTAAATATTATCTTTTATAACATTTATAAATAAATGTATCTTTTATTTAACAATAACTCCTTATTATTAATAAACTCTATTTTGAAGTTATATCTTATATAACTTTATATTATATACTTTATATAATAATTCTCCCAATATATCCAGTCCATAAACTCTTAGGGTGTGACCTCGTAGGACCCAATTATAATAGCAATGAACTTTATAACATAAAGTCCATAAATCATAGTTGGCTTCTAGCAAAGCACTATGACTACCTAAAATAACCGGATTGTAAATCTCCATTAAATGTCCCATACCATAATTAGTAATTGCACATTCGATTAAAGGACACAATTCCTTCACAATATAAAAGAGAGAGAGAGAGAGAGAGAGAGAGAGAGAGAGAGAGAGAGAGAGTATCCATAGCCACAAAAGCATGACATTTTAATCCTCTTACTCAGAAGCCCAATTATTTGTGTAATGGTATATGTTTTCATCACTGCTTCATTAAATCATATAGGTTAATTAGGTCTAATTATATGATGTATCCAGACTGTAAAATTATCAGAGATAACTAACCTTTGCGAAGATAAAAACAGCAAAAACTGCCCTTTTTTTTTCTTTTGCAGTCTTACTCTATGTCATTCAGAACTATCGTAGTGCGAACGCTATAAATTAACTACAGTGAACTAATTAACAATCTATATTTTCATTTGAAATGAAGAAGCAAAAATAACCTGAACTCTATATGGCATGGGGTTTTAATACGTTAATAGTACCATCAATTTTTCATGAGCATGGCCGCTTATAGAAATACGTATACATGTAATGTTCACTTATGAATATCCCTACATAGACATTTCATACATACCTGAGGCTACGAAAAACTTAATGCAGTCAAAGTAAGCAATCATGTGCGTCACAAATTAAACAATCCCATGTAAAGAATTTTTTTTTTTTTTTTCCTTTTACAATAATCTGTTAAAAGTACCTGATCGGTGTTACCTTCAGCCCATCCTTGTTAAGCCACACATCATGTGTCCTGAATATAGTCACCAAAAAAAGAGTTAGTTAGCCATATACCCCCTGTACTATCGCCCAATTGCACATAGAACCACGTAGTTTTATTGTTACAGATAGACCCTGAGTTAATTTTTTGACTCCTTTGCCCTCAGAAAAGGGTGAAATTATTTTTTGACAACTAAACCTCCTTATGGCAAAAGAGTAGGAAAAAAAATTCAATAAGAGAGTCTCAGAATTGGACAAAATTACAGACAGTATGGGTCTATCCACAATTAGCTAAAAAAAAGTTTTTTTCATATATACCCCTTAATTAATGGGTATTTGCAAAAAGACCAATTAAATCCTAGTATTTGCAAAAAACCTCAAATCATCACTTCGGGAGGAAAAAAATAACCTCAAATCATCCAATGATTAATTTTATAGGCTAATTTTGTAAGTGCAACGTAAAAATTAGCAACAAAATAGCCAAAAGTTTACTCATCAAGTTAATCATTTGTCGATTTGAGGGTTATTTCCCCCCAGAGTCAATGATTTGGGGGGTAATTTGGTAAATACGAAGATTGGGGTAGCTTTGTAAATACCTATGCAAATAACTCGAAAAAACAAAAATTCAGCAAAAGAAAGACAATGATGGTATGCCCAATAATTGATGCATAGACCCCCAAAAAAACCGACAAAAATATTACTAAATCCTTAAAATTCTGAGGAGCTGGAGAAAATGGACCAATTAAGTGATATTAGTGATGCGTACTCTGTTATGAGGATAGATTTTTTGCGGAGCTCCACTCCTACACCAAGGTGGTCGAGCGCATGCCAACCATTAAGGTAAATTGAAATCGCCGCACCCGTGTCCCTTAACGCATGAGATTTCTCCAAAACAAGACTTTTGATTCCTTTTCTGCAGACAATTAATGCTAATAAGCATAGTCCTTCAAAAACTCGAGAAATTAGAGTGTGAAACAATTGCACGGGACTACTCGTGCAATTGTACGGGACTACTCGTCCCGTGTATTTCATAGTCAATATTTTTCAAAAATCGACCTCTTTTCGGCCGCTTGAACAAAAAAATGTCGATTTTGCTAATATTTTCATAAAAGGGTCGGTTTTTGCTTATTATTTTTTAAAAATAATCTTTTTAAAAAAAAATCGCCTAAAATGTAATAACAGATGAAAGAGAAGAACCTGTCAAGACCAAGGGCAGTAGCAAGGCCACAGATACCTGCACCCACTATCAC